GCAGCAGAACGACTAATCACAGGGATCCTTTCGCGACTTGAAAGTGCGCGACAAGGGAACTAATGCCTTAACTTGACCGCTGCGACCGCTGCCATTCCTATCATCGCAGCAAACGTGGCGTCTGCGCCCTCTCGCGTACGACGTGCTCTCTCGCATATCCTTCTCCTCACAGCGCTATCTCTCTGTTGTTCAATAACTTTTGTCTAATTTTCGGACATCATAACGCACCAACTCGATCGCGACCTGTGCCTTTAAGTAAGTACTGACTTCAATCAACACCTGACTTTTACACAAGAATACCATTCCTGCACCGTTATATTTAGTTAGGACTGCTGCTACTATGCTGTTTAATTATGGATAACTTTGGTCCTACTGACTATTTTTTTGTTCTATTTTTTTTAATTTCTGATGGAGCCTTATGAAAAGTCAAAGTTTGATGCGTCAATTTGAATTTTACCGTTTCAGCCTTCTCCCCAGCATGAGGCCTGAAGAGTTGGTAACGTTGATGTTGATTGTGACAGCAGTGTTCTTCAAGAGTCTTCCTCTGGGAGTTGTGTTAGGACTTCGCGTTATCCGTCTACATAGCGATTGTTTATGGCGATTTCATCTACCGTTCTTATCTTACCCTTAACCGCGATCTAAGGTAAGCTGTTGAGCGCCCTCGGGTTCAGGTTTCCTTATTTCATATCGATTTTCAGCGGTCTTGCTCTGATCTTGGACATCAAATTCGACTTATGGAAGAAACTTCGGGAAAATCGTGGCCTTCATGAAATCTTCCTTGAAGTGGTTAAAAAGTAAGATCTGCTTTCCTCTGAAAAAATGGTGCTAAGTGGGTTGGGGGGAGCACGCGGCGGCGCGGCAGTCTGCTCGCTGGCGTACTTCGGAAATCCGTGAGCCAGGGGGAGTGTAGGCAGTCTAGGGGGGGGGGGGGGCAGTCACTTGACATGCGTGAAAAGCTGGAATGTTCGAGTTTACACTGTCTCGCTCGAGAGAGCCCAGGTGAGCAGACTGCCGCGCCGCCGCGTGGTCCCCCCCAACTAAGTTAGCACCGATAAAAACTTAATTTCTGTTTCTTGATCTGTCCTGCTCAGTTCAACTGAACCCACAAAACGTTTAGGAACAGCCAGAAAACTGCGATGATTGACATCGAAACCAGTCGCACGTTCACATTTGAGGCATTCAACAAGGAATGCAATCGATACGCGAATTTCTTCCAGGTAGCTCGTCATTTTGAGCTTGGATTAGATGGCAGGACCATGATGAGACTTGTACTGATCGCTGCCGGCGAAATTTCAGGGACCAAGCGCTCCGTGCCCCGGTGAACGTGGTGGCACCTGTTCATTGGCAGAATTGGTGGATTTTCGTTGCAGCATGGTGCGCGACCTTGCAAAACGCGCTGTCGTCTAAACCGCCTGTGGATTAAACTCGCGACCTGAAGAACGGAAGCCATTGGCCGCATTGCTATTGCAGCGACGACGCGCGCGCCCAAAGGGCATCATTACCACCCGACTACTTGAGCCAGGTGATTGACATATTTCTGGTTTCATATAAAGGCAGCAAAAGAGTTGATAATGAGGGCAGTTACGGATTATGTGGGCGAGACGGATGAAAGGAAGTTTTTCGTTAAAAATTCTTGTATGTGGGTGAGGGTCCTTATTACGGATCATGAGGTGCATTTTTGACTTGCCGCCAGATCGCTGCTACGATTTTGAAGTCGCGCAATCCAAAATTCGTTTTCAGACTTGTGTATACGGACTTATTTGGGGCTCTAATTACGAATGTGACATTCGCTTTTGTTGGTGGTGCTATTTGGTGCCTATTTCCTGCTTGTCTGCGCCCTCTCACTAATAGTTCGCTGGCCAAGACTGATGACTTTGGAGTAGTGAGGCTCCAAGTAAGCTACTCACTCCTGTTATCTCTACACACTTCAAATTTTGCCACACCGCGTGCTGTTACGACGCCTTTACACTGCAAGTCAGCTCCGCTTTCCCTAGGCTTAGTTAGTACCAGCTGGTGAAGAAAAGCCGCTAGGCCATAAATGCAGCGTGCAAGAAAAAAGCGAGCGACAGAAAAAACTTAAATGTCATATCGTGATCTGGAGCCTCAAAAAAAATAAATTTCCCCACCCCTTACATATAAGTTTACAGTGACTTTGGTGACATGTCAGTCCTGATCGCCATCTGTACGCCAATTGCGCCACTTTGGCACTTCAGTGCCAAAAACAGGGCGTTATATCCCGTGATTCAGGGACCACCACACCCCAAGGCAGAAGTTCAGCGAAAAAACTTTCTAGACTTCCATTTCCACTGCAGCTGGGCTTGTTAGTAGTTGGCGGGAATAGTGCCGAGTATGAGGTGTTCCTGTTTACTCACTCAACAAGACATGTGAAGTGCTTCATGGAACACTCGTTGTCTCCTACGGTATCATATTTAGTAATCGATTTTTTTAGCACTCTACGAGACGATCACCGATAAACTGCTTGACTGTGATGGAGCGGACCTGTATGTTATTGGGAAATCCGGAGACAACTCTCGTTTCATCTATCTAACCGAAAAATTGAATGCTCAACGAACTGTCGAACCACGTCGGTTAGATAAGGTCAATTTCAAAAGTGAGTTCGATTTTTGGAAATTTTCTTGAAGTTCCTCTATTTTGCCACTCCCTTCTGCAAATGATTATCCTATTCAGTATGTTACTTAAATTCTTTTATCAAGAAGAAAAAGGGGTTGAATTTCTACTCACTAAATGTTTCAGCAAGAATGCTGGGTGTGGAACAAAAATTTCGCCCCAGACAGGACTCGAACCCAAGTGCACTTGCCCGGTAACGAAAAGGTGCGGGTTCACGTCCCGTATGGGTCGGAAAGTTTTGCTCACAACTCACCGTTCTTGTGAAGCATTCTCAAAGCGGCCAAAAACGGCTCCCAGCTCAGCAATAATATGCATACAAGAGCTTGCTAGAAACACTTTGAAGCTCTATCAAATTTGAAGTTATGTTCTGAGCTACAGTAGCGGTCAAAAGTGTTCGCCGAAACGATTTTTAGTGCATTATTTTTTCTCGCTTGAGCAACGCCCTCCAAGATTGATATACTATGTTTTCTAGTGTTTTTATATCCTCAAGCCTTAAAGAATCAGGATGTTCAAAAGAAATTTTCGAGGCCACCATTGGTTTTTTTCTGGCAAAAAAAGAGAAGCACGGAAAACCGTTTCGGCGAACACTTTTTGACCGCTACTGTAGGTCGGCGCGGCCAGCCTTCACGCAAGGAGAGACTCCCAGCTCGCCATGGCCAAGAGATGTGGACCACTAGATGTGCCTTTAAACGCTGATCTCAAATCTACTCTTCAAATCTGCTAGGTATTCTCGGAACGGAGTTATGAAAAAGAGATTACGGTTGCGGTCGGGACTCACAGTCGTTAAGTCGTAAGGTCGATCCCATGTCGTGTTTGTTGTTTTTTCTTTCTGAAACACAATACGACTAAACGACTTCTGATAGCCTGTTTAGCTTATTGCCAAGAAAGCAAAACAGTAAAGTAGATAAGGAATCAATCTCAAGACGTAACGGCTACTACGTAGCGGCTCGATAAGTAAGGCGAAGGCATGCTGTATCTCCACTCAAACGTTCAGAAAAAAATGTTTCCAAGGTTCGCAGCAACCTCATCCGCCTCATATATTTCTTCAACTCTGACCACTTTCCATTTTGGGAACAGCAACCTACGTCTAGACATCTGTTTTGAAGCCTTCATGTTTTAATGAACAGAAAGGGTTCCTGACCCGAAGCAGTGTCTGTGAGGCCCATGGACTTCCATGAAATCATTGGCGCAATTCCATAGTTGGTTGCTGGTCCACACTGTCCACACTCGCATTAGAATAACTTCTAGTAAGGAAAGTTTGTTCAGCTTCCCCTTCTCTTTTATTTACTAAAAACTATCACATCCTCGAAATACGCGATGATTTCCTTGTTTCCTAACTACTGTAATAAAATGAAACTAGTCTACAGGATGATTTCTCAACTCCTTCGACGCGAACATGCAAAAATCGAATGAAATAGCTTCCCATATTTTTGAGTATTAATGGAGAGATGCTAGCCACACATCATTTTCATGTTACAGTTTGTCAAATCAGTCTTAACACAACGCCATACGTTTCTCCTTCTCGCTTAGTGTAAACTAGAAATTAAAAACAGCCGCGGCCGTTCTTATGCTCACTTTAAAAGAGGTCTATGCCTGATCATGTCACGGACGAAAAACAACGTTCCGATCATTTGGTAGAGAGCCATTACACGCCAAGTCCTGTTTATCAGAAACTTGGATCTCCACCAGTTCGTGATAGTTTCATTTTACAGGTATTTGGTGCTATATTTACACGAGTGGTACGACAGGATTGCCAAAAGCTGCCGTCATGAAGCATTTTCGGTGAGTTAGATCACATAGTTTTTGACATTCGATTGTTCGCACTGACAGGATCTAGAGCGTTGAGAGCGTTTTCAGGCGTCTCCGAACGAAATGTACGTCGCCAAATTTACCAGGGCGTCCCGCAAATTCCTCGTTTACGGCTTGCGAGCAGACGCGAAGAATAAGCGCTGCGATTTTTGAGTACAGCGTCTAACAGTCGCAGATTCGGTTGCATGCAGTGTCGCAAAATTGCGCCGCTTGTGCGGGAATTCGGCTTATCCTCGTGGAAGCTTCAATCAAGGCACGATTTCGATCCGACTACTACAATAGCGCCCCCAATCAGTCGAACATAGCAACGCGTCCCATCGCTTCAAATCTATCGGGTAGAGGGAAGCGCTCGACGCTGACAGTTCATTTTGGGATGCGCCGCGAATTCTGCTCCCATTTAGGGTCGCAGTGGCATTTGAATCTGGGACAGTTATGTTTATCCTCCCTGACGAGTATGGCGACAAGTAAAAGATGATGAAACGAGACTTGGTTGCCTCTGAGCCAAAAATTTTGGTCGCCACCAGTAGTGGTGTCGCCACTTGCACCTGCACACCTCTGCCAAAAATTTTCTACATTAGTCTGCATTTTCCTGCTTTTTTTCTAAATGTCAAATATTTGTAATATGTATCAATCCTATTGCCTTGCAGGTATTACTCGATGGTGGTCGGAGCTGCAAAATCGTTTGGTATCTATCCGTCAGACAGAATCTACGTGTCAATGCCGATTTACCACACTGCAGCGGGAATTCTAGGTGAGAATCGGTTTTTTCGACGGCGATTTTCATGAGAGGATAATGAGAGCTGTCATAATCTTCTTCTTTTCCCTCAGCTTAACCCCGAGTCGTCCCATGGCCCGCTGTCTTCAATGAGCGTCGCCGGTTTCTTCTACCCAGGATGATTTTCTTTTAACTAAGGTCCTCATAAGAGGGCCCGTCAGGCGAGACCAGCTCACGCCCAAGTTGACGGGCCGATATGAAGGCCGCAGTCAGATAATCATGTCTGAAAGTTGCAGTAAGAGCTACTGTATTGTAAAAAGCACTACATGTGCTGCTCGCAAATTATGCCCCGATCACAGTAATCTATTATACCAACAGGCAGCAACGAATGTTGACATAATATGCGATTTCCTCTCATGCGATTTTATGGTGTAGTCGTTTACAAAAGTCCTCTCGCTTACTAGCATATAAAAAGTTTGTGATTTGGTCCTGTCCTTTCAAACGGGCATCGTGTCCTATTGCAACGGCTGGCAAAAGGAACACAGCACAGAGTAACGGTAGCAGATGAATGAAATAGGACTGGGGGAATTAGAGGGTGTTGGGTAACTTCAGCGCGAGTGCCTTGCGTT